GGGAAGGAAACTGTCATCCTTACCTGGCCTGGCCTACATGTGATTCCCGACCCACAGCAATGTGGTTGACTCATAACTGCCCTCTGGGCAATTAGGGACGGGCAATAAATGCTGGCCTAGTCAGCGATGCCCTCGTCCCCATATGTAAAAGAAATACTGGATTGAAGGGCAGATACAGAATATATCTCCTCTAGCAATACCTGCAGTGCACCTGGAATGTATACTGTCCATGGTTGGGCCATTCTTCACTTTTTCCCAGGTCAGAGTCTCTTCAATCATAATTCCACTATCCGCTGCAGCCACATTGCACCCCTCCCCCATTAAGAGGTCCCACTCATTTTAAACAGTGCAGGGTAGATTTAAGCAGCACTACTCCCTCATAAATTTAACCCCTTGCTGAATCATCAAGCTAGCAACTAACATTGGCTGGACAGAGATCTTATTCAAATAAGCGAGCAGTATGAAGTTTGTGTGCTACCTGCATTGTCGTCAACAGGAGTAGATTAATTACACATTGTAATTCCCTAATATATTTTCAGGGGTATTTAAGCCCCAGTGTAACTCAATTTGAATTCTTCAGTGTGATTGTCTAATTCATAGAAGTCCCACATCTCCAGTGAAGGACACTACATTCTGTTGGATGCCTGCTGACAGCTGTAAACCTGCTGAACAGCAAGTGCTAGAGATAACAAGGTGTAGAGCTAGATGAACACAGCAGGCCAAGCAGCATCTGAGGAGCAGGAAGGCTGACGTTTCAGGCCTAGACCCTTCTTCAGAAAATACAAGTGCTGTTTGTTTGCTGCTGCTGGCAAAATCTTCAGCTTTCCCAATACTAGGTGGAGGAAGCTGTGGCACATCCAAGCCTGGATGTCAGTCAACTTGTCTGAAAAGACAGTGAAAGAGCTGAGACACAGATAAAACACAATGGTTGAATGTTGGTTCAAGGGGCAGGATGTAAGTGAGGAATAATGGTCAGCGAAAGGTAATCTTTGGAAAATTGATAGTGCAAAGGTGGGAGTATAAGCCAATGTGAGAGATCCTCTGGTGAAGCTCTGATACACAAATATAGAACTAACTGAGAGCAGTCCCACTAGTGGTTAGGAAGGTTTGTATTTCTCTTTATTTGCTGAACATGACCGGCTCTCAATAGTTAGCAGAATGTTGTCCTTTTTTTTGTTTACTGATTGGCTAGTGCAAATAACTAGACTTTCAGATAAATGAAATCTTGAGTGTATTTGCTGTTTGGTCTCTATTTTCAATCAGTTACAGAAACCAGAGTTCTAAATCAAAATGTTTCACATTATGATGACTTTTATCTATTTGTCAGAATGATCTATTTAATTAACTGACTGACTTCAGTTGGGTGTTTGAACTTGCCACCAGTGATAAGATATGATGTTATAAATCAGAATTATACATTACAATCTGACACTGGCTACATTTTCTACCAGAAAACTATCAACAGCACATTTATATCCAACAATTTAAACCATCTGGTCTTTTAAGTTTCTCGTTAGATTAAATGTATTTGATCCTTAAAATTTTGCTATTAGATTTTTAAGTATTTAAATTATGATTTTTTTTTATTTATGCAGCCTCCATTAGAAGTCATCCTGATGTTCTTAAATTTTATGTGATGTTAGAAACTAATTTGATGAATATTGGCCCAAACTTTTCAAAATATGGGGAGGGAATTTGGTGTTTGATAAACTATCAGAGCTCACCATTTCCGTTCATAAACAGACCACATCTTCAGGATTTAGCACGTGGACAGATTCAGGGAGCGCTGTTAGCTTTGTCCGTCACTCTTTGTTTATACCACAGGTTGCATGGGGTGGCAGGTAAATTATCCAACAAGAGTGCCCAACGCATCCAGGAAAATTCAATTGTGGGGGGCAACCAATCAGAGAAAATGCACCACGACCACCACCCCCCAATACACACTCATGCCCCTGCCCAAGATGGAACAGTCAGGAAGACCTCAAGATGCTTTGGCCCAAGTAGGCATGACTCAGACTGCAGCACCACGGCATGTCTGTGTTGCATGTCTAACAGTCACTCAGAGGTACTGGTCAGGTGACATTGGTGGATGGACGAGTGTTTGCATCCTGAAAGAGGACAGCAGACTTGTGCTGCAAAGTCCCACTGACATTTTCCCTGAGCAATCCTAGCAATGTGTTGGAGGCCAGCATGCTGGACTGCTATGATATCCCACAAGTCCCTTACAATCCGCAGCTATGATGGAAGCTGTATGAGCTTACATGATAGCACTGCTATGTTGTGTGACTTCTCGTACAGTAACAGAAGATAAGACATCAACCGTTAGATCCTGTATCTTGGATCTGCAAATGTTGTCACGATGTTGTCCACCATTCCCATACTGGAAAAATTGAGCTCCAAACTCTCTGCAAATCCCTGTGCCAAGATAGCACCAGTGTCATCCATGTACTTCCACATTGATCACAAATTTTCTGACAGGGCTGCCACTTTGCCAAGCATTTCTTTTTGCAAACCTATCTGTATGTCACTGCAACAAAGTCTTCATTTGTGCCCTCTGCAGCAGAATACATAGCACCCCTTGTCCTCAGGTGAGCTGACACTCCTTGTTCCATTCCCATGTTGCCTCATACAAATCCCAACTATCCTCTAAAACACCTACAGAATGAACATCTGAGCTGGTGGCTGCTTCTATGTGAGTGCGATGGTGTTTCATCATCATTGCTCTCTTCCTGCACTTCCCTTCCTTCCCTTGTCCTACTGCCTGGCCAGGTCACACTTCATGGGTATTTGAAAGGAAAAAGGCTAGAGTTGTGAGGGGAGGGGTCGGGGGTGGGGGGCGGAGTGGGGGGAAGTATGGGTGAATGCTTGCACCATCTGCAGCTTGTAAATGCGTAGAGGTTAGAGGATGACAGAAAGTAGGATGTGAGGAGGGAGAATTGGTATGAAGTGATGGTGAGACAAATCTATGAAAGCCTGGTTAATTGAGATTGTTGGGAGGTGAGTAATAAGGGTGTGGTGAATTGAATAATGCATGAGGATAGTGGTGCACTTGTTGAGCTATGGCATTTGAGGTGGCATTTACTAACTTTGACCTCCCCTGTGATATAATTGAATTCTTGCAATACTGTGACCAGGTCGTTCAGGCTCCCATGGTGCCACCAACTGCTGCATTGACTTGATCCCACTCCTTTTTAAGATTGTATCCGGGGAGCCTCCTGCTCTCCTGCTGGTTGATGACACTTCCTTGACCGAACATTCAGTGCAGCTTGGAAAATCCTGGGGCCCATGCTGTCCCTGCTGTCCCATGCTGTGCCATTCTTGCATCTTTCCCGGGTGAATTTCTGGTTAATTTCTAGCAACTGCTCCTGCCACAATGCACTCTTCTTTCAGAGGTGAGGTCTGACTTTTAAGTAGTACAGTCCAGCTTAAACACATGCTGCCCTCTCATGGCTTTGTACCCTCTGCTCAGGGAAACAGTTACTTTATAGTGAGCCTAACCAGGCTGCATGGTGGGAACAGTAAAATAAGCACAAAATTTGCATGCTGCCTGCATCAGGAACAATGGGCAGGGGTTAATAGCGCATTGCGATCCCTTACCCACTTTTAAGTTGTATCGGGCTTTGCAACTTATTTTTAAAAGCTGAACGTTAGCAAACCAGCTATGTGGAAATTATTTTGATAGAGCTGTGCAGGATAGCATCTCCACTTGTGCGTGGTATAGCAATATAAAAACCTCATGGCCCATAAATCAGTCAATTTCTAAATGTTACACTTTGTACAAAACAATACACACCACAAAGTCCCAGTTCAGGACTTATTGGCCAGAGGAGGAAATGAGGAACCTAGCTACTGGTGCAGACATGGTATGCATCAGTGATGGTCACCTGTCCCGAGTTAGCCACGGGATTGAGGGGGGAGCTGTAAAAATCTAAATGCTGATTGGTTTGAATGGAGATGGAGAAGGGTGATGAACCAGCCTGTGGAAACCCCATTTCACATGGAAAAAGCTGAGAGAGCAACAAATCACAACTGGGATTTCCTTCTGTATACGCAGCGAGAAAAGACATCAATAATTTCTGCTGTTTTTCATTTTGGTCAATCTAAAAGAAAATCCAACAGCAACTAGAATTTGTGTGTAATTGATACTGTGATGTTCCTATTTAAAATCATTTGGTCAAAATAATTGCCGAATGGCCTTAAAGAGACTACCAGCTTTGCAAGTAAATCTGTACTCATTCTCCAATAAGCAATGTCACAGGTGATTAAATGATTTTATTAAACTGCAGTTGTCAAGCTGAAATGAATGTCAATACAAAATTGAAGTGTATGGTAATTTGATAACACAGCGCAGAAGGAGGCAGTTCAGCCCCTCAAGGCTGTGCAGGCATTTGAAGCTGTTCGTTTGGTCCTACAAACTTCTCCATAGCCCTGCAATCTTTCTGTCTTCAAGTATTTATACAACCACCTTTATTGAAAATTACAACTGAATCTGCTCCCAACACTCTTTTATGTGAAGCGTTCTGGATCATAACTCATAACTCATGGTGTTAAAACATTGTCTCGTCCTCCCTTTTCTGGTTCTTTGCCAAGTACCTGAAACCTCTTGTGCAGCCTCTCCAAGGCCTTGACCCTTTCTCAAAGTGTGATGCCCAGAATTAGACACAATATCCCAACTGAGACCTAAGACATAAAAGTATAGCATAGCCTCCTTTCTTTTCTACTCCATATGTTTTATTTATAAAACCTAGGATCACATGTGCTTTTTTGACAGCTGTATCAACTTATCCTGCTAGCTATAAAGATTTGTGTAATTACACCCAGTTTTCTATTTCGATTGCCCTTTAAAATTGCACCAGTTAGTTTATGCTGCCTCTCTTTTCCATTCTTCCCATTTCCTCTCATGCAAGAGGTAATTTAGGCTTCTTGTTGCATGCATTCTTGTTTTAACAGCACTATTTTTGAAAGGGCTAATAACTACTTTGTGTTGTGTTCTACCACAGAGTTCATTCATAAACAGACCTGCCCTGGGATGCCTGCCTCCTGAGAATTATGTTCAGAAGCTGTCCGAGACGCTGCTTTCAGTGAGTTTTACTGTGTGGCGTGTGGAAAATGAAGGGGTGATGTGTGACAGCATTTCAGGCCAGATGGGGTATAATTTAATGGATTGGAACAACATTGTTCTATTTAATCTCTCTTTGTGAATGCTGTATAGCAGAGAGTCAAGAAGACTAATCCAAAATTATGAGGAATTCTGAATACAATAGCATTTGTGTTATCCCAGAATTTTCTTCTAACTGGAATTTCCAGATCTGGACTGCTGCATTTTGGTGCTTTAGCCAAAAAAAAGTGTTGCCGAGCAATTAAAAATGAAGTATGCGTGAGTTATGTATGCAAAACTACTTCGATTCTGATCAAGAGACAGTAGGAACTGCAGATGCTGGAGAATCCGAGACAACAAGGTGCAGAGCTGGATGAACACAGCAGGCCAAGCAGCATCATAGGAGCAGGAAAGCTGACGTTTCGGGCCTAGACCCTTCATCAGAAATGGGTCTAGGCCCGAAACGTCAGCCTCTCTGCTCCTATGATGCTGCTT